TGCTGCCCCCGTGCACGGGACAGCGGCAAGCCGGTGGCGGGGTGCACCTGAGCTCGATCCCTAACCCGTCAACCCTAAACCTTAAACCCCTAAACCTAAACCCCTGAACCCTCAAACGAATTAGAAAGGTGTGGGTTTGGCACGATTCGGGCTCAGGGCTTTAAGGTTTAGGGCGGCAATGGTCTGGCATGAGATTTTGAGGGGATTTAAGTTTTCGGCTTAAGGGCTGGGGGTCTAGAGAGTAAGGTTCATGGCTCAAGGTTAGAAGGGTTGGGTGTTGGCTTCTGTGTCTTGGCTGTTCCCTGCAAGTGTTATGAATTTGGTTCTCACAACTTAGCATCTGTATCCTTGTCGCCTAAACGCGCCTCCCAAATCCTACACCATATAACTCTAACCCCCAAGACAAACCCTAAATCCGAGTCCCCGAAATATTCGGCCTAACACCGTAAATGGCGTAGCCTGTAGCCCTTTCGCCCGACCCAGCCAAACACAAACCAAAATGAGCTCTGGCTGCCTTCGGCGCTCGAGCTGTCGGCTTTCGCAGGGGAAGGCACCTTTCCAGCGCAAGACGTTGACCCTTCAGAGCGTTAAGGGTTCAAAAGGGCGAGGCTGTAGGTTGAACTCTTCAGACGGCCGACAAATCATTGGGTTTGGGGCTTGGTTGCATTCTGCTTCTGCTCTTGGCCTTCTTAGGGGTTGCAGAGCTTAGTAAGACCGAACATAGCTACATGTTGGACCTAAGCGGAACCTGATGGTTTATGTCGCCGTGCCTGAAAGTTGGTTTCAGCATCCCTCAGGCTACGTAAACGCTTCAAGACGAACAAAGGAACACAAAACTTCCCCTGGCCCTAAGTCCTGAGTCCCAAACCGTCAGCGCCGAATTGCCGAAACTCAGACCTCCAGAACCCGAAGCCCTGATGAATCGTGCCAGAAGAGCTTCTACATCTTGTCGGGTCCTCGCCAATTTAGGCTTTAGGGTTGTTCCGAGTATACAGACTTTGTATCTCGAGGCGATTAACAGAATGGTGCGGCAGAGGAGCATGCCCGGCAACACAATCACCACCCTTATATCTGGACATGAATGTATCTTTATTATCATAAGCTTAAACAGGTTGTTGCTTCATGGCAGCATCAGCAGAACCGAAGGTTGCTGCACGTCAAATAGTGACAATGACAAACAACATAGCATGCTGCAGTCTTCATAGGGCCCTTTTCATGACCCTGATAGACCCCTTTTAAATGGAACCCACAGAAAGAACCGCTAAGTGTGCTGCTCAAGTGCTGAAAGCATCTGCAACGAAAATCCCACAGCATACGACCGGCGGCCTCGAACAGCGCACTGCAATCCGCTCGCCACTCGCCATCGTGCAAAGCTATGCTCGTCTGATCTAGGGTCTTGAATAACTAGAATATATTGGGCTTTGGGGGTAACGCTCGTTTTGTGTTTTTGGGTACATAAATATATAGGGGCTCACAATGGAATGCTTTGTCGGCATTAAAGTCCCACGGGATCAGCATTCAAAGCTTGGTGTTACCAGCTTGGGAATATGCTCACAAAGTCTGTGAAGTTGCAAAGGTCTTAGACGGCTTAGGGTTGATGGCTCTATATGTAGGGCGTAAGGATTTAGGGCTTCGGTCAGCCCAAACCCTAAACCCTGCATAAATATTTCAAGTTTCGTAGTTGGGTGGCTTCGGGTTTAAGGTTTAGGGGTTTCGGGTTTGAGGTTTAGGGGTTTCGGGTTCAGGGTTCCGAACTTTCCAAGTGTGGCTCGAGACCAAGGCGCCACAGAGCTTTTGCTGTGAGCGCTGCTTTCCCATCTTCGACAGCCCTGAAAGCATGACCTTACGCCGTAAACCTTGGGAACTAGAGCCAAGCCCTCGCAGAACCCGCGCGGATCCCGTGCAGTAGATCCCTCATATATAGATCCCAGCCTTAGTCTAGACCTTAAAGCATGAACACGAACGGGCAAGCGATTCTCAAGCAGTTGCCAAGTCGGTTCTGCATTTCGCTTTAACTTTTTGGGCCAAAGGGCGCTGATGAGTTGCTGAACAGATTCCTGCGTGGGCCCCGATGCGGTATCCTAGGAACGGGCACCAGGACGAGTCAATTCGTAAACTGCAGAGCTTCCCCGGGCTGGCCGAGTCTAGCGCATCTTGGCTGAATGCCCCCCCCCCCAACCCACTGTAGTTCCATACATCTTGTGTGTAGGGGCTGTTTAAAACTGTTTAAACAAACACATACTGTGTAGCATCTAAACAATTATATATTGCTATGAATATGCTTGGCTCCACGGGTTGGTCGATGCGGCCTTGAACTGCTAAGATGGCACTCCTGTAGGTTCATGGATAGTTATAAGTAGGGTGATAAGTCCGCGAATATGAGTTATAAGCATAGTTATCCTACTTATGACCCTACTTATAACTACCCTAAACCCTATAACCCTTTCGATCCCTTTAAAGGAACCCTACATATAACTACCCATGAACCTCCGAGCTCCTGTTTTCTCAACCGAGCGACGCAGAGTCATCTCTGAGGTTTCCTGGCCCGACCTGTGGGAGTTTCCGAAAATCGGGGACCCTAATATAGCGGTTTAGGGTTTGGGTTTAGGGGTTTAGGGTTTAGGTTTAGGATAGTACCCTAAATAATAGGATCCTGATTATAAGGACCTCGAAATAAGATACTTCGAATTTTCGGAAACTCCCATGTATGATCGTGCAGGTGTGCGAATCAACTTAAGCACGCAAGCCCTACTTGCTCGGGCCATATGGGTGGTCGTCAAAATTATGGTCCCTTTTTGGGTTCCTAATGTAATACGGCACCTAATCTTTAGGGTACTCAAAAAGGGACCCTGATTTTGACAACCACCCATATGACTGCAGGGATATTTGCGCTCCGGTGGAAGCCTTGAGCTTCCTATAGTCGCTGTTTAGGGGTTTCGGGTTTAAGGCTTAGGTGTTTCGGGTTAAAGGCTTAGGTGTTTCGGGTTTAAGGGTTAGGGGTTTCGGGTTTAAGGTTTAGGGGTTTCGGGTTTAAGGTTCAAGGGTTTCGGGTTTAAGGTGTAGGGGTTTAGGGTTTAGGGTTTCAGTATGAGAAACATGCATATTTCAAGCACCTGGCTACTACTCTCACGACTCAAGCACACCCGCACAGGCGAGGTCGGCTGGCCGGCCAGTCTGTACATATGCGCCAGCATGATTTCTACAAACTCGAGACCCTAAACCCTAAACGTTAAGCCTTGAGCCCAAACCATAAACCCTGCACCCTAAGCCTTTCCGTCTCCAATGAGACCCTAGATTCGACCCTACACCCATCGGAGCACCCTCGGCCTCTAATTCCGAGATGCCTATGGTTAGAATGGGATCTGCGCGGTACTCTTATGTTAGGGGCGACCAAGGGGGTACTACCAGACTCACTAGAATAGTTATCTATCCGACCCCTGTATTAGCAAGACCTCTCCTTCTGAGGGAGAAGTAACAGAGACGTAGGAGTAGTAGTAGTAGTAGTAGTAGTAGTAGTAGTAGTAGTAGTAGTAGTAGTAGTAGTAGTAGTAGTAGTAGTTGTAGTAGTAGTAGTAGTAGTCGTAGTAGTAGTAGTAGTAGTAGTAGTAGTAGTAGGATCCGAGCCGGATCGTCCCCAGCCCGAAGGCTACTTCAAACACTCGGGAGCAAACAGCCTTTCCGCTTCCGCCCTTCAAATCTAAGCCCTACCAGTATCATCCATAAACCCATGCAAGTGAGCACTTAAGCCTCCGTAAGCTACCAAAGCCACTAAGCGTTTCAGTGTAAAACTGGCAGCAATGAAAGGCTCAGGGTTTAGGGGCTAACGCACTCCCAATAACCCTTTATGCGAAGTCCACTACACCCGAAGTCACCTGACCCCAAACTCTGGCGTACACCCTAACACCCTAGACCCTGGACGCTGCACCATAAACCCTGTCAAATGCACCCTCTGCAGACTTCACTGTGCCTCAGGGTGTGAGATCTCAGCGAACACGGCCGGTATGAAGGAGATTTGGTTTGGGGTTTCAAGGTTTGTTCAAGTTTAGTTAGGAAGCTTTTTGTGCTTAGAGTCTAGTTTAGGGTCTTGAGGGCTTTGAGGGTTTAGGATTTTTTGGGCTTAACGTCTTTAGGGTTAAAGCCCTCAGGGATTCGCGCTCTTAAGGTTTAGGGGTGCAGGGCTCGAGCTCGCTCAGGGCTTTGGGCTTGGGGTTTAGGGGTTCAGGGGTCAGGGTTAAAGACCCGCGCCGGGTCTGGAGTAGCGGTTCGGGGTGTGGCTTTACAGTGAGGCTTGCGGCCTAGCTTTGCGTCTGCGGTTCATACCTGTAGACGTAACACCCTAAACCCTAAACCCTGAAGCCCAAACCCTGCCCCAAAACCCAAAACCCTACACCTAAAGTCCGTTTCCGGCGAGTTGGGAGCCCAAAAGAACGCTTTGAACAAGCCCTGGAAAAAACCTGGACTTTTCGGATCTATTATTGTGCCTTCCATATATATGTATATATATATATATATATACATACAGAGACTGAGTAATATGTATGTATGTATGTATGTATGTATGTATGTATGTATGTATGTATGTATATATATATATATGTATAAGCATATATTATACTTTTACTTCAAAGAGCATGGGCTATTTGGAGCTCAAACCTGGCCTCCTGAAGCCTGAGACATTCGAAGAGTCGAGCCTCCTGAAAGCCTCCTTCCTTAATTCCCAAAGGGTCCGAAGTACCTGTATGGTAGAGTGTAGGGTTTCTATGTTAGGATTTGCTATTATGATCCAGGGAAGTGCCCCCCCCCGCAACAGTACATAGGACCGTTAGGGATTAAAGCCTGAACCCCAGAAGTCTAAGCCGGGAGAAAGTAAGCCCCAAACCCTAGCGACGACTGAAACGTCGGGTTTAGGTCCATGGAGTTCGTGTTTAGGACGGAGGCTGCAGTTTTTAGTAGCGCAGCTCCATGAAGTCATTTGAAGCCGAGGCCAAAGCAGCACACAGTCATCTCCATAGCCTGAGTTTTAGGCTTAGGGTTTATGGTTGGTAGGTTAAGTCTTTACTTGGACCCGAACAACCTACTTTTAAGAGCTCCGGAATATGAGTTCTTTCCGTTTGTCCTTAGAAAGGTAGGCTACTTGGAGTTAAGGTATACGTTTGGGCGGGTTTCGGGAATCTCCCGGACCTGGAATCTCCGAACCCCTAGTTACAAACATCAAGCCTTAAACAACAAATCCCGAAACCCTAGTCTCATCCTAAAATCTTCAACCCTAAACCCTAAACCCTAAACCCTTAACCGTCTGATTCAAGAGCTGAAGAGCTGGGGCTGGGGAGGCATTGGTTCTATGAAAAATCCGGAAGGCTCGGGGTCGGGCCTTGTTGGGTTGAGGGCTTCGACGAGGGTATGGGGTTTAGGCCCTTTCGGCTCTTATGGTTCGGGGTTTAGGATCGGATTGACTAAGTAGAAACTGCTTTATGAAGATATGACGAAAGGTCGACGAGGCTGACTTTCTCGGCTGTGGGCTCTGTCCCTTTTTTACTAGCTTATAGACGGCCCAAAGTCCACCCCAACGCCCTGAACGCTCAATCCTGAAGCCACGTCGGGAGCCCGAAGATCTTCGGTCTATGACCGCATCGATATGCTGCACCTCAGAACTTATCAGATGTTGGATCTAAACATCGACCCCTCAAACCCGAAACCCTAAATCCTGCGCATTCGACCCCTTGAGCGCGAAGCCGATCAGCTTGGAAGTTGGAGAAGCATACTGAGCTCGTCGTTCTAGAGCCCGGAAAGAGCAAGCCCCAAAACCTCAAACCTCTCAAGCCCCAAATCCTTTCAAGAGAAGCCGTATGTACTTATGCACACTTATGAGCCCTATAGACTAGATTTAGCCTTCACGTATTGATTTTCAGGGTTTGGGGTTTGCATAAGCCCTGAACACCTTTGAGAACCAAACATGCTCCTACAAACCCCTCAACCCAAACCCTAAACTCCCTGAACATCCCTATGTCTAATCCCTAAACGCTGAACTACGCCCATAAAACTCAAGCTCGTCCTTTCCTGAGCGCCCTGCTTGACTAGGCCGTCCCGACCAGCCGTGACCAAGATGTCCTAACAAGGCTCACCTACTGTTGGTGATATAAACCCTGCATTACTACCCATAATGAGGAGTTTATCATTGTTCCCAAAGCTTAGGGTCCTTAAGATACTGGAGGATTTATGACACAAACAGTATCTCAAAAAAGTGGAATACCGGAGCCAGAGAACATGGAACTGGGTTCATAAGGCTCCTGTATGGGTTCCGGGCTTCTTTACCGCTTGGTGAGTGGGGTGCCCTTATCATGACAAGGATCCTTATTACTTATTACTGGGGGTTCTATACTCGGGTCTCCTACGTATTTTCCGAATCTCCAACCTTCGACAAGGGTGATGGGGCTTCGAAGGAGATAGATGTGAGCAGGGCTGAGGAACCGAATGCATAAGCCCGTATACCCTGAAGCCTCGACCTAGCACCCCTAAGCCTCGCCTAAACCCTCAACCCTAAACCCTAAACCCCTACACCCGAAACCCCTAAACCCTAAACCCCTAAACCCTAAACCCCTAAACCCTAAACCCGAAACCCCTAAACCCTAAACCCGGCTCTCGACCCTGGACCCCCGGGACCCCTATCCCCCCCAGGTAGGGAGTGCTGCTTCCGCAAGCGAGCCGGCAACACATTTTGCAAGGAGATGGTGCACCTAAGCTGCGGCTTTACAGCTTCTACCTGTCCAGTATACGAAGGGAAATAAAGGTGAACCTTTGGGATTATGTGGGGTTTGTAGTAGCACCCAAAAGGTCAACGGATAACTACTCTGAGTTTTAGAAAAGGTTGGACAGGCTTTGCTGAATGATTCGATCTAAAATTATCAGTACAAGGAAAGCATACGTTTCAAGACATGTCACTATCGTTGAGTGACGATCAGTAAAGAAGCTTCTAAGCGTACAGAGGCTCTATCCGCGTCTGGCATACAGAAAGAAGGGTTATAGGTCTCGTTCAGGGGTGTCTTCAGGGTTCAAGGTCATGGGTTTGTGGTATGAGGTTCGGAGTGCTGGGTTTAATGCTATGACTAGACCTTAACCCCCAACCGGTTGAGGGGATGAGGTTTGGGCATCAGGGTTCGACTTGGGAATGACTCAGGCATCTGCCGGGTTCCTCAGCTAGTTGAAGTCTAAGAGTCTTTCGGGCTTGGGGTTTCGGGTGATGAAAGTTCTCCCAGAAGAGGGGTTTAGGGCTTCCGCTCTCCGAAATGGTCTAACCCTAGACCTCATAAACATTAACCCGACAAAGCTGGAAGCCAATTTCGAGAAGGACCGTCGCCAATACTGAGCTCCTGCTCTGCTGCTGCTACACTACCAACTTCTGGATTCGTCCTGCCAGTGGGCTTCTTCAGCATGTCATGTAAATTTCCAAAGTCCATACTATATTATAGATTCACTATAGTAAGGATCCCCCCTCAAATAAACAATATAATTATTAAGGCCCCTACAGAAACTTGAAGGCGTGCAAGGTTTAGGTTTCCCCAAGGGTCCAAGTACCCAATAATCATATACTCACCGAACTCCTAAGCTACATAACTACTATCCTAAAACCGAGTACCTGACTATTGGGTCCTTTGACCCTTGTGCTCAGGGTATTACCACGGGTCGACTTACTGGCATCCCATGAAGACAAACGACCACAACTGACTCCCCTGAAGCCTGGACTGAAAAGCAACACACACTCATGGTCTCAAGCTTCAGGGGTCTGCTTTTGAGATACCTAACATCGCGGATAACACCCTCTCAAGCCCAACAGACCCCATGGACAAAAAGGAATGTTTAGGGGGTGGGGTTTCCGGTCCAGGGTTTGTGGCTCAGCCCATCCTCCACGCTCCCCCTGCTTTGGGGCCGAACAGGTCGAGAATGGCATCGCGATGGTTGGGGCTCGGCGGGGACGACGAGTCCTGTTTTTGGGCACACTCACGATGAAGGATCTTGGGGCAATCGGCGCTTGAAAGTGGCATTGCAATACGGCGGGGCTTGTCCTCGAGATCTCTCACTCTGCTATTGCATCTCGCTTTGAGAACATCTTGTTGGCTTGCTCCAGCATGCTCCCAACCGCAAAAAAGCCTGCAAACCTGAGCCGTCATCCCGAAACCCTGCACCCTGAACCTGCGACCTTTAAGCCTCATCCCAGAACCACCAAGACCGGCTAAGGGCTTAAACCCACCGTCAGACGGTCGCAAACGCCGAAAGCCCAGCGCTCGAAACCGAACCCTAAAACACCTAACCCCAAAACCCAGGGAGCCCCCACTCTAGAAGACTGGATGATTACCAATGCAAATACTATTGCATATTATCAAAATGTAAATATAATCACATGAGTCCTTTAGTATATCGCAATACCTCCCCCCCCCTAGACACATCCACAGGCAGCACCCAAAACCACACATATTCTACATATTCTAATTGGTACGGCCCCCCCTTCCCATCTTTCATGCTCCTGGCTTCCCACGCGCCTTTGAGCGAGCTATGGGGCTCGGTGATGAAGGTTGGCGTTAAGGGCCCAGGAAGGCTTAGTAGAGCTTCAGGGTTTTAGGCTTCCGGGTGTAGGACTTAGCAGGCTTAGTAGGGCCAGGTTTTCAGGCTTCAGGGTTGAGCGTGTAGTGCTTAGTAGGGCTTTAGACTTTGGGGGCTTGGCTTTTGGGGATTTGCGAGGATTTAGAGCTTTTGGTATTTAAGGCTTCGGGTTTAGATGGTTCAGGATTTGGCATTTACGGTTTAGGGCTTGTGGTTCATCGGGCTTCAGGTTTTGATTCAGGCCAAGTTCAGGGCTTAATTATAGGCTTCAGGGTTTGCGATTTAGGGCTTAGACCTTAGGATTCTAGGTTCCCTAGGAGCAGAGTTCTGGATCTTTATGTCGGAAGGTTGCCTGCTGGGTTTCGGCGCGGGTGCAGTAAAACAAAAAAGCAAAACAACCTTGAGGTGAAATGTACTATTGTAAACTCCCAAAGGTGGGAAGCCTAATTAGGGACCAATCGTGCTGGGATTCCCTATACTTTGCTCTTAGGGATTGGGGCTATCGGGTTACCAACTTTTCGGCTTTTGCTGTATGTGTGTTTGAAGAGCTGGGTGTAGGGTTCATCATGCGGGCAGGGTCTAGGGGGCATTAAAGAGATTGCTAAAGGAGATTGCTAAAGGATGATATGTGTACTTGCTGGATCTTACACCGAAAAGGACAGCCGAAAGCCACAATGCCGATTCGCATCTTCGAAAAAAGCTGTAACTGTTTGAAACGAACTTCATGTTCTTTTAAACCCAACTTATCAACTGCGAACTTATTTGTGCACTGTCACAACTACTTCTACCAGACAGCATGTACTGCTTCATCCCAGGCTGATAGTGCCTCTGAGCTCGTCATCCCGCGCGATGCATGTTGAGGGTACGGCCTTAACCCCTCAACCCAAAATGCACAAAACCTTAAACCCTAACCCGTAAACCCTTAACCCTCAACCCCTAAACCCTAAACCCCTTAACCGTAAACCCTCAACTCCTATAAACCCTAAACCCCTAAACTCCTAACCCCTAAAACCATCAACCACCTCAACCCAAAACCCAAACATCGAGAGGGGAGAGCCCCGAGCAAAGTGGACCGAAGCCCTCTGCCAGAATCATGTTATCTTCCCTGCAGAAAATGCACAAGAAACCTAACAATCCCGTCATTCATGAACCGTCTACCCAGACCCTAACTTCGATCATCTAGACGTTCGCGAAATTGGCGCCTCAAAAGCCCAAAGAAGCTCAAAACTCAAATCGCTCCGAGACCCCAGCGACAGCGACGCCGGCGCCTCGTTCCGCTGGCCACCCTGCTCCTGACCCAAAGCCGAGAAGGGAACTGGTGGCTGAATCTGCTGACGCTCAAATGAACATGTGGGTGGCTTAGGGTTTAGGGTTTAGGGTCCCTACTTTTTATACGTCACCTACTATTTAGGGTACCCAAACAGGGACCATAATTTTGACAACTACCCATGTGGTGGATGATGGTCTCCTGCTCAGCATGCAGAATCTGTTGGGCTTAGTCAGAATAAGCACGACTGGCCTCAGGATATTTCTTGGAAACAACATCTACCGTGCTCGAAGCTCTAGACGAGTCTTCAAGCCTTGGCTTCTTGTCCGCAGACGGTCTGCCTACCTTTCTGCTTCTTCCGGGATTGGGCAGGGATGCGACCGCAAACCTTAAGGCAACATAAACACGCCTGGAACTGGACGTTTTGCAAGCGTGCACAACATGTGCAGGGATGAGAAAAGCTTCGAATACCCTTCATGGGACATGAAGGACAGTCAAGTTGCATGGAGTACTACCATGGCACCATGAAGTGCAGTACTGTGGTAGCGCACGCCAAAGTGACTCATAATTTTCAGTGGAACGCTTGCACGCATCACCGTCCTCGCAAAGACTCAGACACTTCCTGGTTCTTAGTATTAGTAGGGAATGGGGGAAAGGGATCTCCAGAAGGTTCCTCGTTTAGCCTTGGGAATTAGGGCTTTAGGGTGCATAGTCCCTACAACCCCTTCCCCCCATATCCTACTAAGAACTAAGAACTAGGAAGAAGAAGAAGAAGCGAATTGTCGCGAGAACTGCATGGCCTGGCTCAGCTCCGAGCTTCTTGCAAGCTGTCTGCACCGGAACACTGGAACAGGATTCTGCAAGTACTTCAGAGTAGTGACTGAATTCATGGCAGCTGCTAGAGCTAAGCAAGAAGTGGGGAAGGGACAGGGTTTCTCCTGTCCGGTCACCCCCCACTGCGAAGCAATTAGAGCTTTGAGCTGGTGAAACTGTTGCCAAAATCTTCGAGGGAAAAGCCGAGAGAAGGTGGGACCTTCCTTTGCAGGACAACTTGACACCAGTTTGACCTGACGAATGATGGCGGGGGGCCTAGGATCTTGGGTCGGTCCATGAAGGTCTTCACCTTCCACCTCAGCCAACGAAGTCTGAGGAGGAGGAGGAGGAGGTCGAGGTCGTTTATAAAGACTGAGACAAGAAACCTTGACCTTAGTTCGGCTCTGATAGCTGATGACTCTGGGCCTAGCAGCATCCGAGCACCGAGTTCGAGTCCTGAGATGTCTCTCCAATCACAGGACAGTGGCCCCGGAGAGGCTCAGAGGCTTCGGAAGCACTGGTGGAAGCCCGTGACGCAGACGCCAGCTGGGACGACGCTATTGCGGAGCCCAGGCATTCATGCACTGCTTCCGAGAATTCTAGACCGCTGCATGAGGCGAGAAGCTTCACGCAGTCCTCACCTATCCCTTCCATCGACGCATCGATGACATGGAAGGGCCGTTTGCAGACGACGAAGCTTCGCATTAACGATAGCCACGACTCCTGACCAAGAATGACAACTAACTGCTTGGCTCCCTCATCGCTGGTCTGAAAGTCGTCCATGGCACGGATGAAGGCGGTAAAGGTCTCGCTAGTCTCGACATTGGTCAAGCCTGCACGATCGCATTGCAATTCGAAAGCCAGTCGGCTGCAGGCTTCTTCCACAGCGATTAAGAAGTGGACGGACTTGTCGAACTGCCCCAATGAAGGGGCATGACTGTTGCTTTCTGGCTCCAACATGCTCAACGACTGCGACATGACCGACTTCTGTACACAGGCATCCGACGACGCCTCACTCTCGGTGTGTCGATCCATCATGCACAATCCACTCTAGTCTGAGTCAAAACGGCCGACTGCGGTCGATAATGAGTTCGTCGGTGCCAAGACGAAGCGAACTCTTCAACGGCAATATCCTCTCTTCTAATTAGTATGTTATACCGTATAACCTTGTATATTTTACTCTAACTTTTCAAGAATACATACATCTGAAACGGGATCTGACCTGTGTTGCGCAGTATACAGTAACGACGAAGCATACTGCCCTCTTCCCGCCTCTAAAAAGAGCCCAAAGTAGAGTCGAATAGGAACCCTTCTGAAACCCGACTAAATTCAAACAACTCTAATCCAGCCCCTTATTGGGGGAATGTCTGCTGTGACACCAGAGCCATGGCTTCAAGACTTCCGAGGCTGTGGGTGCGCATGGGCCAATCGGGCTTATGCAATGTATACTTTAGGGTTTAGGGTTTAGGGGTTTAGGGTTTTAGGGTTTTAGGGTTTAGGGGTTTAGGGTTTAGGGTTCTACTTCGGGATTTAAAGCTTATAGGGCTTTTGAAGAGAACACAAGATCCTAAACCCTAGTGGCTCCGGTCCTGTGCGCAAACCAATAAATACCATGAACCCCAATGCCCTGCATTTTGCTTCTGCTTCTCGCCGGCCGCGATAAACGACCTCGCAGTCCGCGCGCTGGCTCCACCTGGTGGGGTCTGGGAGTTTGGGATGGGTTTAAGGTAAAAGCCAGAAAGTTGGAATATGATTATCCTAACCCTTCTATGGTAAAATATAGGGTATCCTACCATGAAACCATATTCCAACTTTCTGGAGTTCCCTATACAGGGTTCTCATGCTGTGAGGCTGTCTGTCCGCTTCTGTTTCATGCAATGAGTTACGGCTTGAGGTCTAAGTTCTAGGATTCAAGGTGTGTCAGAGGATGGAAACCACACATCCTACCGGCTTGAAGAGTTTGAACCTCGCAGAATGTCCACCATGAAGTCGTTTGGAGTCTGCGCCCCGTAGGTAAGCGACACACAGCACGGGACATGAGCCCTAACCTCGTATTCGGGGTTGTGGTGCCGAACTGCGTGCAGAAGCAACTCCGCCGGAAGTCGGTCTGCCAAGCCCTAAACCCCAGACAAGCCCTACATCCGAAATACTAGGCCATAACACCACCCTACTTTCGACAACCTACATCGCCCTTGAAAGTCTGAAAACTGCAGTAAGAGAAAAACACTAATTCATGCACACCCCATAGAAAACCACCATGAAACCCTGACCCCGCCCTATTCTTCAACACTATACCCTGAACCCGAAATCCTGAACACGAAACCCCAAACCCTGAACTCCTAAACACTGAACCCTTAAACCCTAAATCCGAAATCCGAAACCCGAAACCCTAAAGGGATGCGACTAGCACAGGAAGCTTTCCCCAGGCCTGGCGCACGGTCGCTGGCTCAAGGGCATTTCCTTCCCGAGCTTTAGCAGACGCCGGCTCCTCCCGTGGGTTTCTATTACTATTACTATTACTATTGCTATTACTATTACTATTACTATTACTATTACTATTACCACTACTATTACTATTAGCTTTTGTGGGATTCGGGTCCAGGGTCTGTTTGAGGCCACTGCTTGCAGATTTATTTAAGGTTCCGGGTTTGGAGTTGGCTCGAGTTTCGACTTGTGAGTTTGGGGTTCAAGGCCTTGGGGTGTGGGAACACGGAGTCTGGTCAACAATGTAAGGCCTCAGCTAACCTTTAGAACATGGTAGAAGAGAGCTTTGGGTTACCTTGCGCTCGACTTATTGCAAAAGGGACCCTGAGGCATGTTATTGGCAGCTTGCGAAAGGGCCCCTAAGGCATATGATTGGTAGCTTCGATGTGCCTGCGTCGACCCTAACAACTAGTTACTAGCATCCAACGTAGGATCCTTCATATAAGGAGCCCAACTGGGATCCTAACTGCGAACTGCTGATTAAACCCACCTGCCCCGGGCAATGTAGAGGCTTCCACAACTAGAATAGGGTTTAGGGGTGTATTATGCTACAGTCATTGGGGCTACAGGGCTGTGCGGTCCCGGTCGTCCAACACAAAAACCGTCTCAAGCCCCAAACCCAAAGGGACAGCGGTTTAGAGTGTAGGGTTTAGCGCTGAAGGATTAGGGTTTAGGGTTTAGGGTTTAGGGTTTAGGGTTTAGCGCTGAAGGATTAGGGATTACGGCATGAGAGTGTGGAGTTTGGGGCCTCTTGGGGCTGGCTTACAGTCTTAGTCTTCTGAAGACCATATTATGTTTCAGAAGCCCGCAACAGCAAATATAAAGGGACGGCTAGCAAGAAGAAGTCGTAGTAGTAGTAGTAGTAGTAGTAGTAGTAGTAGTAGTAGTAGTAGTAGGTGTGGTAGTAGTAGTAGTAGTAGTAGTAGTAGTAGTAGTAGTAGTAGTAGTAGTAGTAGTAGTAGTAGTAGTAGTAGTAGTAGTAGTAGTAGTAGTAGTAGTAGTAGTAGTAGTAGTAGTAGTAGTAGTAGTAGAAGTAGTAGTAGTAGTAGTAGTAGTAGTAGTGGTGGTGGTAGTAGTAGTAGGAGGAGTAGTAGTAGTAGTCGTAGTAGTAGTTGTAGTAGGAGTGGCAATAGGAGTAGGAGTAGTAGTAGTAGTAGTAGTAGGAGAATCAGGAGTAGGAGTAGAGGGGTAGAGGAGTAGTAGGAGTAGGAGTAAGAGGGGGAGGAGTAGGAGGAGAAGTAGGAGTATGAGTAGGAGTAGCAGGAGGAAGCAGTAGCAGTAGCAGTGGCAGTAGCCGTGGCCGTGGCAGCGGCAGCAGAAGTAGCAGTAGTACTAGGTTACTAGGAGTAAGTTGCTCACAAACCCCAAAGCTGCGGCATGGTCCTCGGCAACCTCAATCGCCTCCTCCCCCTCCTCCTCCTCCTCCTCCTCCGCCTCCTCCTCGTCCTCTTCCTCCCCTTCCTCCTGCGGTTCTGGCTCCTCTTCTGCCTCCTCGTCATCCTCCTCCTCGCTGCCCTCTTCGCCGTCCTGGGAGAGGAGTCAGTTCAGCATTAGACGTACAAAAAAAACTCGAAACTATCTGAGCATGGATTCCTGCGATGTGTGGATGCACAGGCAATGAAATGGGTTGTGTGGTGACCGCTCCTCGACTGTAAGACTGACAGACAGATTCCAGATAGGTAAGAGGATATCCAAATCCCACAACCCCACAAAATGGGAGTACAACAC